GCGTGGTAGCGCATGCCTGTAATTCCGGCTACTCGGAAGGCTGAGGCAGAAGGATCACCGAAGCCCAGCAGGTCGAGGCTGCGGTGGCCGGAGGTGGCCACTGCACTCCAGTCTGGGCGACAGAGTGAGACTCCAACTCAAAAAAATAAATAAATAAATTAGAGAGAGAGAGAGAGAAAGAGGTGATTCACCTCCCTGAGGTAGGGGAGGGGGCCAAAGCTTAAGAAAACATGGGCTGGCCATAACTCAACATACGGTCACACCACAGCTTAGTAAGGCAATGGCAGAAATTATTTTCAATACATTTCTTTAATCCAATATACCTAAACTTTTAATATTATTCTTTCACCTCTGTTCTCCTCCTCCTCTTGTAGAATTTCAAAGGCTGTGGTCAAAAGAAGTAACTGGAGAACGTCCTTCCTTATCTATAACAAGTTAAGAGAATGGCTCACCTCCAAGCAGTCTTTTAATCCAATCGGACCAACTTGGTCCATGTACTTACTCCTGGCTCAATAATACTCACCAGGGAAATGCCCTAAGCCTGTGTTTCTGAAAATGACTGGAGAGAGGTGACATTTGATAATGTCTGGAGACGTTTTGTCACATAAATGTGAAGGTGGGGACTACAGGCATTTGATGCATAGCGGCCTGGGATGCAGCTAAACATCCTATGAGACACAGGACAGCTTCCTACAACAATTATCTGCTCAAAATAGTACCAAGGTTGAGAAACCTTGCCCTAAGCTTATTATTTTGAGCCTCTATCCCTAACTAAGCACTGTCAAGAGGATGAGATTACCACTATTGGTTTACGTTTATCAGGACTTACTACTGCTGTGAATAGGTTCTGCTTCCCTACAGAAATTTGGAAGGTGGACACTTAAACTAAAAAGTGTTAGAAGAGAGAAAGGGCATGGGCAACCTAAAATAGTACCCATGAAAGACCTGATTGTTTTTGTAATTATAAAAGCATGTGTGTATTGTGAAAGTATGATCAGGCATCAAACATAAATTATATCAGTAATTATACAATTACTGGTCATTTAAAATTGTTATCGGTATTTTCTACCTTGTATAGCAAAAATTTCTTTTATATAGGTGAATTTACAGTGAAAATTTTTCATAACGTAAAATCTTTTTACAAAAGATAATTTATTGAGTATCTTTTTTTTAAGCAATGGAAGTTTCTATCGTGTATC